CATAATAACGGCATGCGTCATAGGCCTTCTGATCTCCATGAGTAATTTGTCCGCTCGTACCTGAATATTCAACAGCTCTTTCAGGAACTCTATAAAAAAAGAGTGGCACAGGTGCGAGACGCATAAGGGCTCCATTTCCCGCTACTTCCGCTTCGCTACAATAAACATTAAAGTCCTTTCCAAGTTCAGAGTGAGGAAGATAGTCTATTTTATCCAATGGAATGTTGTGAGACTTGGCATATTTTTTTTGACGATGGTGAAATTCGTCTACCGATTGTCTGGTAGCTGCTCCAATATCAAAGCACTGTCCTGTCGATGACATGTATCCGTGTTGGTGCCACCATTTGTACCGAACTAATTGATCGTAAGCATTATAACCGCCATTAGCTATTAATGAATTTGCCAAACAAAGGGCCATAGAAGTATCATCAGTAAACTGAAAAAAATTCGACGGAAAAAACTTGTTATGTGTTTTTAACAATTATATCTTGAGGGTAGGCGTGAGGTATGAGTTTATCTTATCTGACTTGATGATAGAACTTCAATCTAGACTTTAGTTCTACTAGGATCATCTGAAAATTCTCTATTTAATGTTATAAATTTGATGGTCATTTTCAAAAGTATTGATAATATTATTTTTTCTTTCGCAAAAATAGTTTCAATTAATAAGATTAATAAAAGACTTGTTGAGTTAGAAAAATAGAATTGACGAGAAAAAAGTCTTTTTATTATTTCATTAACTTCTGTTCTAAAATTCTATTTTTTTTATTTCTATAGCTAGAACCAAGATGATAAAATTTATTTTAGTATAAAAATATGTATTTTAATTTGAAGATTATAGTAAAATACTTATTTTACATGAGAAGAACATGTAAATAAGTAGAATTATCGATCATAATTTAAAATTTAAAAAATATCTAAAACATGGGCAGTATAAGTACAATATCGAGTTAAAATAAGTTTTTCATTAGTAGAATCTTATTTAAAAAATCGCGTGAAATCTAGTTTGATTATAGAAATTAAATAATGAATATCTATGCAGATCTTATTTAGTTTGAAAATTTTATCTTGATGTGAATATTAATTATATAAATTGTAAATAAAGATAAAACAATTCATACCTGTCCTTTTGAAAGTCCCCAAGTTCCTCCTGATTCAAGTTTAGTTACTGGATGCTGAACCAAATATTGACGAGGTCGAAATTCTACATGAGCACCAAGTGCATCACCTAATGCCATACCTATCATAGAACCTTGAACACGATTTAAGATATTCTTATCGATTGGGCCAGATGGTACGTTCATATCATTTTCAAGTTCAGCGGGTTTTTTAATTAAATCATTCTCATGATATTGTGGGTTCAGCCATTTTATATCTATAATTATAAATTTAGTAATTACATACATATTCATTCTTTTATTCATTCATAAAAAATTATTTCTTTTGCCTTTTCATAAGAATTTTGAATTTTTTCAACAGAAAATAATAAAATAAAATAAAACTTTAAATAATTTATCCTCTTTATAAGCTCAAGAAGAATTTCAAAATACTAACCGGCATGAACGGGCTCGGATGAATCATTAGGAGAAGCAGACTGCTTCGATGTATCTGTATCTGAATCCTCTTCTGGTTTACGGATTTCTAAACCTTCATCTGGTTTATGGATTTCTGAACCTTCTTCTGATTCATCGATCTCTGGATCTTTGTTTGGTTGGATATTACTATTTGAGTTATGTTTTCCAGATGATGTAGAAAGATTTATCGCATGATTCTCATTATTTGAATTGCCAGCTAGAACAATAAAAATAAATAAATAAAAAAAAACGAATGACGATAGATACTCATTATTAATGAAATAATGAAGTTAATAAAACAAAATTCTATGGGCAATTACTTGAAGAACTTCTCTCTTTCTGGTAATTGTCGCCAGTTGAATGACTTTGAATATTTTGATCCTGATTTAATGTATGTTGTCGTGAACTTGTTTGATCTTGTTCATCTTCATGGGTTTCTCTTTTCACTGCTTTATCTGTATGCGATTCAGATAATTGATTATGATAATGTTTGGTGTTGTCATTAGTATCCATGCTGTCTTCGTCGGCATCGATGTTTCTTAGATCAGTAGGATTATCTTGTTGAATTTCATTAGAGGAAGTTCTCGATCTTGATTGATCCATGTGTGTATCTTCAACAGTTGTTGCATGTTCGTGTCTGCCCTCTTCGTCTGTCATAGTGGACTGATTTGCAACTGGTTGATCCGAATTATTTTCATTTATTTTATCAGGTTCTGATGATTCACGCGAATTTTCAGATTGATTATCTGAATTTAAATGAGACTGGTCACCTGACCCTTCGGTATCGTCTTCGTTTGGAGTTAATGGCACATGTGCATTTTCATTTGAATATGGATTATTATGTTCATTTTTTTCATTAATATCAGCCATTTATTTCGATTTCTTATCTATTTATATTAAAATAAATTTATTTAATTAGATATTTTTAAAATAATAAAAATAAAATAAAAATATTAATTTTAGAAAAAAAATCTTTTTTTTAAATATTAAATATATTTAATCAATTTCAAATGACAAAAAAACTTGAAAATGTGTTCGTTAATGTACGTATTTTTAATATATTATAAAAAAAAAGATCTCGTATAAAAATAAGATGATGTGTTTTTTTTTCTTCATTGTATATATAGTTTGTTAACTAAATTTACTTTTTTTCTTCTTTCGTTCTTTGTATTTTTACAACAGTAAATATAATAAAAAGAAATACTCTAGAGAAAAAAAACCGTCCGTCTACCAAAGTAAAAACAAAAAGAGTCGGAGAACATCGATAATGTTTTCAAAAGAAATTCTTCGACAATAGAAATAAACATTCTTCCAACATTCGCCGAAAAAACGATAAGAATAACAAAAATAAATCTCATCAAGAATAAACATTAATTAACAAGATTCTTCGAATTACATTAAATTCTATTTATGTCATATTTTACATTTTATTAAAAATTCTTTTAATAAATATATAAAACTAGGTAATTATTATAAATATTCTTTCATCATATATCAGACAGTTTAAGACGGATTTTTTGTAAACTTTATCTAAGGAAAGAAAAAAAGAAAGAAAGAAAGAAAAAAAAAGTACGAATGAATATTATTTTTTTTTTCTTCCGAGTTTTAATGCTAAGTAAATGTTGATAGAGGCGTTGTGACGACAACATATTACATTTTACATGAAAAATGTCTAAACTGTTCTCTTTTTTCTTTACGTAGATTATTTTAATCATAAGAAAAATATTAAATGAAATTATTCGCACTAATTTTTATATTTTAAAAAATCTAAATTAATTAGAGATAAATCAATCTTATTTTATTTCTTATTTAATTAAGAAATATCCTTTAGAAAATTTACATTAAATTAAATTCTGATTAATAAATCAATTTAGAATATGATAAGAAAGAAATTCTTATAGATTTCCTAATTATTTTAAATCATTTTAAAATAGAATCGAAAATGAAGAAAAACAAATGGATGAGAATTCTAAGAATCAATTTTTTTAATAAAATAAATTTAATTATCGTATTTAGAATAAAAAATAAAAATAATTATTATGAAATATTTTAAACTATTAAAATACAATCAATGATCGATACAACATAATATCAATAATATACAATCCAGTTCAATCTTTAATTAAAAATAGAAACATTCATATTTTAAATTTCTATGAATGCAATTAATAATAATCTATGTTAACTATATTGTTTTCTTTTCTTATCCATGAAAAAGTCAAATATTTTTGTTGAAGTTAATAGTCAAAGATAACAAAGGTTCTCCACTAACGTTGTCTCTATGAAGATTTACGAGTATAAAACATATGTCTATCCTTCGATAAAAAAATGAATCGATTTGCACAAGCTCAAATAGATATAGAATTTATATGATTAAATATGAAATTATTTAATAGATTCTAGAAAAATCAATAAAATTAGTTTTTTTCTTTTTCTTTGCTGATTATATAAATATTTAATGATGTTCTTAGACATGAAATAAACTAAAATAATCTTTATCTATGATAAAAAGAAACACATGTATGTTGATGTAATGAAGAATGATAAGAAGATATATATTGAAATATTATCTTTTAGAAAAAGTAAAAAGAAAAAAGAAAAAAGAAAAAAGAAAAAAGAAAAGTTAAAGGATAAACATTTGAATGTCTTCAACAACAACAAAAAATGATGCATTTCAAAGTTCTATTGAAGAAACTGAAGAAGAACAAATAGATCATCGATCTAATTCATCACGTCCATCATTAGTTCCACGTCAAATATCATTTGCACAAGATGGAGCTACATTTGGTGAAATAATTCTTGTTCTTTTACCATATTTTGTTTTAATTTTTGATGTTTTTATTTATTTTCTTTTACGTGGATTTAAATTTACATCATTTGATAATTCGATTCTCAGATCAAATAAATAAAATTGTATTTTCATTCTTATGTCATCTGTTTCAGAATTACATGATCACATTTATTCACGTCATTGAATAACTAAAGATAATCTATCTATCTATCTATCTATATCTATATATACATCAATATATAGGAACCTTTCTTCAATACATTTTCTTCGCTTAGTTCGGTGAAAGGGCATATATATATATGTGGATGACTCATTAACGCGTGTTTATTTCTCTGTCCATCGATAGAAAGGACAAAACAGTTCTGTTTTTTTGTTATTTCTTTTTCTAAGAGAAAAAAAGCATATGATTTGCTTCTTAAAAAGCAAAATAAATGGAAAATCTTATTAATTAAAGATAAAAAATCAAAATATTCGATCATAACAAAATAAATGACATTAAATTCAATAGGTTATTCATTTGAAACATGGATAAGTGCATTAATTGGAGCTGCTCTTGTTGGTTGTATTGGCCTTTTACCCATTTTTATTGTTCCAAATGAACAAACAAAAAGTTATTTTAATAAATATTAATCTAAAATTTTCTAAATATATTTCTTTATTTCTTAAATAGAAGATAAACCATATTTGGAATTATTATTAAGTGTTGCTGTTGGTAGTCAATTAGGTGATGTATTTCTTCATTTATTACCAGAAGCATTTGCTCATCCACAAGCATCATCGATTAGTATTGGTCTTTGGACTTTAACAGGTTTATTTATTTTTTTTCTTATTGAACAAATATTTCCAGAAGATGAAGACAATTCTTCTTCGGAAACAAATCAACAAAATCAAATATTAGCGGTATTTATAAAAACAATTTTGATCTTATTAAATAATTACAAAGAATTGTTTTACTTTTAGAATATTATACCAACAGAAAAAAAAA